AATTGAACTTATTTAAGTAAAGTCATTTTATATTTCTAGTTTATTTATTTTTATTTATGTATTTATTTATTTACTAATAATATAATTAATTTATTATAGTTAATGTAGGTGAAAAAATTTAAGAATAAATAATATGAATAACCGATAATAATAATAAAAACGAATGAGAATGCTTATAATTAAAGAAAACCTAAAAGTAATAATAATAATAATAATAATAATAATAATAATAATAATAATAATAATACAAATAATTCTAATTTTAAATTTAACTATTTTTGATTATTTTTATTAACTATTTTTGGGTTATCTTTTTTTTTGACTTTCGAATACATGCAATTTACACTAACACTACTACGTTTTCAGTATCATTATCATTATATTATTATTGTTGTTATTGTTGTTGTTTTTATTATATGATTGTATTAATTATATTTGACGTCTTGTTAGAACATAAATTGCTTTAACTGATTTCGGGAAGACCACGAAATTTATAATTATTTTTAATTATTTTTAATTATTTAATTATTTTATTTTGAATTATTTTGAATTATTTTGAATTATTTTGAATTATTTTGAATTATTTTAATTAAATAATTATTTTTAATTAAAATAATTAACTTATGATAATTATTAATTTTTGATTAAAAGTTGATTAATTATTATTATTCTTCTTATTTTTTCCAAGTTTTAATTTAGAATATTTTTTTAGAAAAAGAAAAAGAAAAAAACGAAAAAAGAAAGTAAAGCAATTAAAGTAAAAATTATAAACCTTAAATAATAATGACAAACAACAACAACAACTACAATAAGAATAGTAATAGTAACAATAATAATAATAATTTAATAATAATAATAATAATAATAAAGGAAAAACAAAAAATATAGAAAACAAAACACAAATGTCTACAAATAAAACAATATCTTTTATTTTTTAACTTATTAAATTCCCAAATTCCAAAACATTAAACACTAAATACATTAAATACATTAAAGACCAAATACAATAACAATCCTCACAAAAACACACACATAAACATCAATTACAAAGAAAAAAAAAAAAAACTCAAGAAAAACATTAAATTCAAAAATATAATAAACGATAAAAACCAAATGAAATTATTTAAATGCTAGAAAAATAAAAGCACGTTCCTTTGAAATCTTTTAACTTTATGTGGTAACCATTAAAAATTATTATCTTTAATATAATTAGTAATATCATTATTTATTTATTTATTTATTTATTATTATATAATAATAATAATTTATTTAAATTTTTTTTTTTACCTTAAATATTTCTTCTTTAATTTTATTTCATTATTTATTTATTACTATATTTACATAATTACATATTTATTATTCTTACCATTATTAATATTATTTACTTTTACCTTCTTATTTATATTACATTTATTACATAAAAGAAAAATACTGAGAAAACCGAAAAAAAAACCTGAAAATAAAATAAAAAAAAAAAACTGAAAAAAAATAAACTCTTCCAACGATTATTACTATTACTCTATTACTCTATCAGTATCGTCCATTGTTATTATTATCATTATTATCATTACCTCATTACTTAATGAGTCATATTAATTTAAACACTTATCATAAACTCTATCATTTTTATTTTTATTATTATTATTATTATTATTATTATTATTATTATTATTATTTTAAAATAATGATGGTAAAATAAATAAATAAATAAATAAAAAATAAAATAATTGATAAATATTATAAATATTATGATTTATAAATAAATAAACTATAATTTTTTTTTTTTAAAATAACCGTATAAATTAAACCATATATACAGTATAAATAAACTGTATATAATATATAATAAACGTACAATATGATGTAATAATAATAGAAGCATATTCGGGGGGGGGGGTAATAAAATGTCGTATCACATAATTTAATAACTTCTCTTTTCTTTTCGTTTTTACTTTCCGATCGATGAGTGATCAATTTGTGTTTTTTTTATTCTTATGTAATTGTTTAAATATGTTTCTGAATATTTTAAATACTATATATGTCATTTATTTTTTTTTTAGATTAAATTATTATTATTATTATTATTATTAATTATTATTATTATTATTATAATATATTTGATTTATTATTTTATTATTATTATTATTATCATTTTTCAAAAAATAAATAAAATATTATTATATCAGGTATGTGCGTAATATGTATAATCTTTGAAGTAAAGAAATAAATGAAAAAAATGAAAAAAAATTGTATGTAAAAAATGTATGTAAAATGTGTAAGATTATTATCCCTTCTTTTCTTTTCGTTTTTTTTATCTCTTTAAAAAAACAATTTCATACAACTTCATACAATTTCATACAATTTTCATACAATTTAATTTTATGCATTTAAATACAACAACAAAAAAAAAATAATTTAATTAATTTGATTATTTGATGATTTGATTTAATTTGAGTTGATTTTAATTTTTGATATTTAATTTAGTTATTATTTTAGTTATTACTTCTTTTAGTTAAATTTAGTTTTAAGTTATTTATATTTAGTTCTGCACTTAACTATATTCTAGTTATACTTAACAAAAATGTTGATAAAATATAAAATGTGATCAATAACAATTAATTTATGTTAATTAATTGTTGGAATACTAAATTTAAAAATAATAATAATAATAATAATAATAATAATAATTTATAGAAACTTCTTTTCCTTCCCGAAATTCTTTTTTTTTCCTTTTCTATTTTCTTTTGTTGTTCTTTTTCCTTGTCATTTTTTGTTATTGTTGTTGTGGTTCCAAAAAAAAACATAAGTAGGTGTACACGAACTTTTAAAGTTTTTTAATTTAAAAAAAAAAAATTATTTTCGCGTGCTTTTATTAGCTTTATCATCTTTTTTTTCCTGTTCTCATAGATACTTTTACTTATATAGTTTTTACTCATAATAGTTTTCCTTATTTTAATTTTAGAATTTCTCTTTTTCTCATTAAATTGTATCTTTTTTTTCTTATTGTTGACTCCTTCATTCTTCTTCTACTTAATTCTTCCTCTTAATTCTTCATTATCAAAAGTCAAAGGATTAGAAAGTATTATTATTTCAAAGAATTATTAAATAACAATAATAATAATTCTTATATTATTATTATCTTCCTTCTTCTCCTTTTTCATCTGTCATTTGTTATTTTAAAAAGAAAAACTTTTACGCGTGATTAATTACTTTTTCTATGCATCTTTTAATCACTTTTTAAACTTTTTAATCATTCATTATCATTATTTATATTTTTAATATTCATGCCGTGTTTGTGATTTTTTTTTTCATCAATCGTTAATTATTATTTTATTATTAATATTATTATTATCATTTAATCTTATTAATATTTTTATTTCCTTTGGAAATCTCTCTTTCTTTCTTTCTTCTTCTTCTTTAATAAGTGTCAATATATATATATATAATCTATTATTTCATTCAATAGATATTAATATTATTATTACTTTTATCCGCTATTCTGCTATTTTTATATTTTATCTTTTATGCATCACTTTTTCCTCGCATAATCTATTTACTTTTATTAATACTTGTTGCTTATTTTTCTCTCTTCTATTCTTTTTTTTTTTTTACAATTTATTTTACGTACACAATCACTTTACACTTTACATTCACACGTTATTATTTTTTACAATTCCCTTTTCGCTTGCTCTCGAGTTTTTTATTTTATTTTTTTATTATCACTTAAAAATATCATTATTTATTATTATTATTATTGTTATTATTGTTATTATCGTTATTAAAATTTATATTTTATTATTTTATGTTTTCCTTTCGCATAAACCAAATCGTCATTCTTGCTTTCTTCTTCACCAATCATTTTTTCTATTTATTTAGTAAAAACTTCCCATATACTTATTATACTTTATTTTTTTTTTTTTTACTTTATAATTTTACTTTAATAATAATCAATAATAATTACTTTAATAATTATATTACACTTTATAATTGACGCATACTTTAATATACTTGATAATTAATTATAATTATTTATTATACTTCAATATACATTATAATTACAATACTGCATAATATAGTTTATTATCTATATAATTTTTTTTTCACCCTTAAATTTTACCACTTCGTTAAAAATATAATTTTTTTTCTTCTTCTCCTTGATTCTTTTGATTCTTTCATATTACCAAAAAAAAAAAAATTAATAATCCTTATATCAAAAATTTCTATATTATATATTATATATATATATTATATATAATATATATATACATATATTTTCCTATAATATTCTTAATATCTTTCTTTCTTTATAATTTATTATTTTTATTATTATTATTATTATTATTCTTTATTTTTATTATTATATTCTTGTTTATTTTTTTTTTTTGCCTTTTCGCATATCTATGCTTGTAATTCGTTCATTTATGTTCTAACCACTTAAAAAACTTTTTTTTCTTATTGAATTTATTTTTTCTTTTACATTGATATATTCGGCGTTCCACCTGTAATTATAATCTGAAATTTTTGCCCCCATTTCTAGCATACCCCAAATTTCTTTTAAAACATTTTTGTATATTCGTTACACTAAAAAAGAAATATATATAAACTTTTTATATAAATACAGTCAAGCATTTTACTTCTCTTCATTCTTCTTTTACCTCAAAAAAAAATATTTTTTGGGTTTTAAAGGCAATTGTCCAACTTTGGGTGACTTCTTATTTTATTTTTTATATGCTAATTATAAAAAAAAATTTTCATCGCGAAACACTGTTCATTCTTTTTTTTCTACGTTTTTCTTCCCTTTTTTTTCTTTAAAAAAAAAATCGTTCTTCTTTTGATATAATATTTTTTCTTATCCCTTTTTTTTTTTTTTATATCAGTGGTTTCTCATTCTTTTTCTTCGAGTGAAATCACTACCCAAATTTGTTGGATACTTTATTTCCGACTACGACTTTTAGTGTTTTTTTTTTTATTTTATTTTATTTGATAAACATTTTTTTTCCATGGTATCAATTTCAAACAGTCAACAACGCACGGACAACAATAATAACACGACGACAATGATGCACGCTTATTTGCCATCACAGCATCGAGAAAATAGCATCGAAGATTCCATGGATTCAATTCCTACTAATGTTAAATTACACAACTTACGACGAATTCTTTCTACTAATAATAATACTCACGATCAAAAACAGCAACGTCATGTTCATTCAGTTCATCACCATTCAGAATACGATGATATGATTATTATTGATGATGATGATGATGATGAGAATATCAATGACCTCAAAAATTTAAATAAAATTAATAAGCCGAATAATTCTTCTACCGTCGCCTCATCTTCCTCATCCTCTTCATTCACATCTCATGTCTCATTAACTCGAAGAAAATCATCGAGATTGGATATTTCTAGTTTACTTTGTGAATCCCCCGAATCCTTCCCAATCTGTGAAGAAGATAGTTCTAGCAATAGTAGTATGGGCGATACTGCTAGTCAATTGGGTGATAATGAATCGTTCCACAAAACACCCGCTACTACCCCTCCTCTCTCTCCAAACGGTATTGGTGGTAAAATTAATAATAATAATAATAATAATAATAACAATGAATCCGAGAGACACGAGAGACATGATGAGAATATTATTATTAATCACAACATTAATAATAATAATAATAATAATAACAAATATTTTAATGAAGAATTACAAAATATTCGAACGGATCATTCAGATAATCATCATCAAGTAGTATTACCTCCGATTAAAAGTTTAGATATGAGATCTGAGATGTATGATCATCATCACGAGAATTCGGATTCTCGAAAACCACTTGAACAATTTGCTACGATCTCTGAAGCTTATCGTACTAATAATTCTTCTTCATATTCGTTACCTCATCCTACTCTAATGGATTCTTCAACTCGTTTATTAAATAATTCTTCCGTTAATTCAGTTCATCATCATCATCTTCAAGATCCTTTATTACGAAGATCCTCTTATGACGTGTCTCCTTCGGCGCGTTATAATCCTTACACTTCTTCTGCTTCTTCTTCTTCTACTCCAACTTCTCATTCTAATTCTACACCTTCCTCTTTAAATATTTATGCTCCATTATCTCCTCTTGATCAAAGACGTAATTCAGATTTATTAGGATTTAATACACCTCGTAATCCTTCTCAAATGGATCACACTTATCAGAATAGGAATCCTAATAATAATAATAGTAATGGACATTTACATCAATCATTACCTGGTGGTGTTGTTGGTGGTTATTGTTATGATATGGATAACAATAACAACAATAACAACAACAACAATAATAATAATAATGGAAGAAATTTGGCTTTCTCTTCACAACAACAACAACAACAACAACAACAACAACAGCAGCAACATCAACATCAACAACAACCAAGACCTTATCAAATGCATAATAGTCCTTCATCTTTTCATCATGGTTATCCTAGTCCTAATTCTGTTACTCATTCACCAAATAATTTAATGCCTATGTCTTATCATCCTCAACCACCACCAACATCTCATCAACATATGCATTTATCTCACCACCACCATCATCATCATCATATGGGTTCTCCTTATATGGATCATTCAAATCCAAATGTTGGTTCTATGGTTAAAGCCAAACGTAAGCGAGCCAATGCCAATCAATTAAAAGTATTAAATGAGGTATTTCATCAAACATTTTTTCCTTCAACAGAATTAAGAATTCAATTAGGTAAACAATTAGGTATGTCACCAAGAACAGTACAAATATGGTTTCAAAACAAAAGACAAAGTTGGAGAAGTAAATCGCGTGCCACACCATCATCATCATCATCATCATCAAATTCAAATAATAAAGAAGATGAAAAAGCAGATAATGAAATAATTAATAATTCTAGAAGATCAAGTAATTCTAGTTTACATGCTTCTGATGAAGAAGAAGATATAGATCAAAGGACAATTCCTGATTCACCTTTAGAAACTCCGTATCATCATCATCGTGGAGATTATTTCTCATTAAATAATAATAATAATAATTCTGAAAATAACAACAACAATAATAATAATAATACGAGTTCTTCGTATTTTACATCACAACAATCTCCTCCTCCTTCTATTTCTTCTTCTTCACCACCACCTTCTTCATCTAATGGAGATTATTATCGTTCTTCTACTGGCGTTGCAAATATCGTGTCACCTACTTTATCATCACCATCATCATCATCACCACCTCTCCCTCCACCTTCATCAATGGTGACATATTCCAAATCTTCTATCATAAATAATGAACGACTTCCTACTTTTCCTTCTTCAACCAATTCCTCCTCTTCATCATTTTCATCACATCAATCATACAATAATAATAATAATAACACTATTCACAATTCTTCTTCTCCTAATGGCAATAATTCATTTGAGAATTTTTCAAATAATAGATTGCCCCCACCTATTCTTTCTCACCATCGTAATAATAATAATACTCAACCTTCAACCCCCTTTAGATATCAACCAACTGTATCTGAAAGTCAAATAGTTAATGATATGTAAAGGTTGAAAATTTTAGGTGGTTTTTTTTTTTTTTAATTATGTTGATGATCCAACGTTTCCATAAATCTTTTTTTTTTGGTGAGAATCAAAATTGATTTATTTATAAGTCAAAAAAAAAACATTTATTACATTTATTACATTTTTATAAGGTTTAATTAATAATTGTAATTTTCTTTGTAAATAGATTTTTTTTTTCTGGTTTAATTATTATTTTTTTTTTTACTTTCCATTTTTCTTTTTTTTTTTTTTGGTATTTCGAGTTTCAAGGTTATAGGTGTGGGATCAAATTCAAAAGTTTTTGATTTGTAGTAAAAAAACGCGTTAATCAAATTTATTATTTTCGCTAAAAAAAAAAGACAAAAAAGTTGAATTTTTCTTGCTGGTTTCAAGAAAATCATAATTTCTTTACATTTCATATTATTTTTATAATTATTATAAACCGAACAATTATTAATTATTTTTTCTTTTCTGTAAATTTTTTTTCCATTTAAAATTTAATTTTTTTTTATACGTTAGTCGTAATTTTTAATATCATCATCATCATCACAAACACAACAAATTTTTATATCGCCGACAAAAAATTTTTTAATTTTCTAATTTTTTAATTTTTTTTTTATTTACGAAATTATTTAGCTTTCGAACTCTTTCTTTCTTTCCTTTTTTTTTTTTAAAAAAAAAAATAGTAGTTTAATAATATAAAATTTTAATTATATATATATTCTTTTATAATTTCTCTCAATAGTTATGCCGAATTTTTTTTCTTTTTTTTATATAAAAACCACATTACGTTAAATAATATTAAGCTTTATTATACAATTCACTTATATAATATTTTACTTCTCAAAAAAAAAAAAAATTCACTTCCAATTACTATAAAGTTTCAAAGAAAAAATTACACATTATACATAATAAAAAATTCATTAAATGAAACAACAAAAAGATTCATTTATAAAAAAAAGAAATCAAAAAAATCTTCTCTTTGTAAATAATCTAATTTTTTTCATATCTTTAAATTTTCTTTACCAAGTTTTTATTCAAAAAGTGTTTATAGAAAATTACATATTACGTAAATATAGATTAAGCAGATATATACTATATATATGTTATATATATATAATAATGTGCTTTGATAAAGAATTCGCAATTTCTAAAATTAAAACGTGTTATTTAGAAATAAGTACACGCGCCCCAAGAAACGTGCGCAGTTATGCAATGTATGCAAACGAGCCATGCAAGTTAAAACATAATTATGCATTCAAATTCTACGTTTAAGAAAGATCATTGTTGTTTGAATATTTATTTGAATCACTTTATTATAAATACATCATAAAAAAAATAATAATAATAATAAAATAATAATAATAATAAAATAACAATAATTATCTATTCTACTCTAATTATCTAACGAAATTTTCATCAGTAAATGAAGCAAACATCTCGTGTAATTGAAAATAATTATTATTACCCCAATGATGATCAAATCGTGATTCCCCATATTTGGAATTTAATGAATGAAGGAAGACTTATGTAAAGAAAGCGTCATAAACTACGCGTAAATTATCTACCCCATTTATTATTATTATTATTATTTTAATAGAGTAAAAATTAAAAACATTAATTAAAATATTAATTAATTAAAATACTAATTAAAAATAAAATAAAAAATAAAAAAAAAATTGTTAATATAAAAAGAATATTTTATTTATATTCTATATTTATTTTTATATTTATTTTTTTACATTTTTTTTTAATTTCTTATGATTAATACAAGTACCAATTGCGTCAATATAAGTAGTAACATAAATTATAAATATAACAAGTTTTTATAAAGAATCAGGGAATCTCAATAGAGCCCTCTTTTTTTAATTGATTTAATGAATGGATTTTCTGGATTTCTATAGAGAATTTGATCGAAAATTTGTTTAAATTTGCTTATCAATTTCCTTTTCGGGTAGAAATTACCTGATCGAATATATGTCTTAAATTGGAGATATTAATTTTTTACATTGTTTTTAAAATTATTCGCGTCGGCTTAATCGGAGAATGTACAAAGGCGACACAAAAATAACATTTATAATAATAATAATAAGGATGATAATAATTCTTAATTCTCATTCTCATTCTCATTATCATTATTTCCATTATAATAATAATAAATTATTATTATTATTATTATTATTATCATTATCATTATACGCAAAAACATAAAATATAAACGGAATGTCACTCAAAATATCCCATAAAATAAAGATTTTTTTTACCATACGAAAATAAATACAAAAAAAAAATTGGTTCGATAATTTTTCTTTTTTTTTTTTTTTATTAATTGTATACAAATAAAAAAAATGGTTTAACCCAATCATTATTGACAATTAAGTTAGCTTATCATTGTACTTATAAAACCTGAGTTTGATGCATCCAAAGAAATACCAACCATACATATTATTAAATATATATTATCTAATTTATTATCAAATTTATCAATAAACTGTGCACGGCTTTTTAATAGATATTTTTAGCGGGTTGGTTGAATTTTGACATTTTTATAATAGATTAATATAAAATCTTTGATGTTTAATATTCATTTATTTATTATATCAATTCACGCTTTTTCTTCATGTGAAATATGATTTTAATGTTTAAGTTTGATTGTTGATTGAGGTTATTTTAATTTATTTTATTTTATTTTATTTTATTTTCGGATTTTCCGGAGTCTGAGCGCATTTAAATGTAAAGCGTAAATTTCAAATTTTAAATAACAGGTTTTTTAAATAATTTAGAAAACCTTATATTCTTTTCTTTATTGCATATGAGATCACGAATAATACTCATTAAACTCGCATTAAACAAGTTACCAATTAAAAAGAAATCCTTAAATAAAATTACCAACATTTCTTATCATCAAATGTTTAAAATTTTAAGTAAATATTTATGAAATAAACAAAGAACAGACATCAAAATTCGATAAAACGAACCCCGGAATCTATCTATATTATTATTTATTTTGTGTTTGAAATCAAAGATGAATATTATCTTTTTTTTTAAAAAAAAAAAATAAAAAAAATAAAAAATAAAATAAAATCGCGTTTTTATGTTCCCACATGCTATTGTTAAAACATTTTTCCTTTTTGTGTTTGTTTTCAACAGGTTTGTTTTCATTTTGAGATTTTTTGTGTTATACTATAATTTTTTGTGTAATATTTTTTTTTTTGATTTTTATGCATTAAATATTTTAATTTTTTTTTTTTGTTAAAACAATGATTATAGTTTTCAAATTGTGAACCTCTAATTAAATTAATTAATTTTTTATTTAGACAAACGTTTTCTATTGGAGTACAAGGAAATTCAATTCATTGTGTTTGTCGTCCCTGATTAAATTGGGACCCTTGTTCATTTTAACAAGGAATTCTTTTTTTTTTCACAAAATAAAAATAAGGTTCCATGACAAACAAATAACCATAATTGGATAATTTTATATTATACTACGTTATTTTTGTACTCCAAAACAATTGATCTAACACTAATCTTCTGAAAAGGAAAGTTGGTTGAATGGATTCATTATTCCCGGTGAGATAATTATTAATGTTGTTGTTGTCATTAAATTAATATGGTGATAAAGAATGTGTGACAACAATCCTTCTATTCTGGATAACATTAATTATAATAATTTATGCACATGTGTTATTGATTATTGCGAATTAGATTTCAAAGGTCCAATCCCATACATCACAGAAATCAAAATTGGAATTTTTTTTTTTTCTTAAAAATATTTTAAAGAAAAAACAAATAATAAACAAACAAATCGAGAGTTTTATTGACCAAAAAAGTAAATTAAAATGTATTAAAAATGTTTGTAATTTTTATCCTTTTGGCATATGGGCAAAAAAGCTCATTGGAGAGAACACCTAAAAAAGGACAGATGGATTAAATGAAGATCAAATTTGGTAATAATTTGTTTATCCCCAAATTATTCTTATTCTAATTATCACGTGAATCATTTTTTGAGTTAACGCGACTTTTATTCTATATATATCATTAAAAAAAATTATTATTGAGAGAATATTTTGATTCTTCTATGAATCCCTTTATTTTACGAGTGGTTCATTCCCGGGGGCACTATAAATATCTTAATCTAGACTTTATTTATTATTATTGATCAAAAAAAAAAAAAATTTTTTTTTTTAGAATTCTTTTCAAAAAATCAACAGGATTTGTTGATAAATCGCTTATTAATACATAATGCACGTATATCACTTCCGTAAAGATGAGGTATGTGTACTTATTATAAGATCAAGAAAAAATTTATGAATAATAACATATCTTCAAGGAATATGTTTGATCTATTGGACAACTGGACAATGACAGAAAAAAAAACCATTTCTTTTTATAATGATAATCAGTGAAGGAACTTTGTTATTTTTTAACCATTTTGACGTGCATGAATAATAATTTATTGGTGTTGGATCAGTTTGACAAAAGATTATCATAACTAAGTGGCGTAGTAGTTATATATATAAAGCATTTGGTGAAACCATAAGAACAATAAATAATACGTTAAATCAATGAATACAAACTTAGCTAGAAAAATTCATAAACAATAAAACTTGATTATTAAACCTAAGTGAATAAAAAGATTTTTTGGCGTTTTCTATTCGAACTCAAATATTTTATGCATTTAAATTGGAGGGAATACAATTCAACAACGTACATGATGGCTCAAGCGAGAGAAGATAGGATAATTAAAATGTTATTTTCATTTATCTAAAAATAAATGGGGTACCCAAATATTTTTGGGGTCCCTTTTTTTTAAATTAATAATAATAATTATTAATAATATTTTGATGAACAATACTTAACAAATAATTGAAAAGTGACTTGTAAATGTGAAATGAACGAAATTTATCACATCTAGGTACCTGCAAGTGGTTCATCTTTCTCTTCTTTTACATTGAATTCAATTATTATTTTTATTATTCTTCTTCTATTCATCATCATTTTAACTTATGTACAATAGATTTTCCTCTAAATTTTCATATTTGTTATTTTTAAAATAGGATGATTTTTTAGTACGAGAGGAATATTTATTAAATATAGGAAATAATTTTCGTAATTCATATACTTGTAATGTTCTTATGATTTTGGGGGTTTCACTTTTTAAAGAAACATTTCCTCAATTTAGTTTGTAATTTCTTTCTTAATCCATGCAGAAAAATATTGTAAAACTTTAATTAAAAAACGTTTTGATAATCATAAAAACAGAAATTAATAAATGGATCTCGCGGATGTATTACTTACTATGGTTAGGTAACATTTTTATTATTAAAACGTTTAATTAATTTATTTCTGTAGATCGCATATAATAGTTTAGTACGCCGATTATATTCAGATTAAATTAAGTATACATTATAAATATATATTTATTTAAATGTATACATTTTTAAAAAATATCGAACACAAAAAAATCCGCGATGCATTTATTCAATTTAAATTGTTGCGCGTAAAACAAACCACAATTAAATGAACATATAATTGTTCAAGATAATCAAAAACTTTTTATATTAATTTCAATGATTCCAAAATTCTAAGTTAAACACTGTATTTTTTTATTTATTTTATGTCTAAACAACTTTGACAGATAAATAATTAAATCAATTTAAATTAATAATAAAATAATTATAGAAATATAGTTATAAAAAACAATTCTAGAAATGTTAATATAAGATAATTATGGAAATAAGTAATTATAGAAAAGCAATAAATCAAAAATTTTTATTGTCGAAGAGAATTCAGGTAAATTTTATCTAAAAAAAGGAATTTATTCACTGTATATGTTTTTTTTCCATCCAAAGCGAAATATCAAAATATTATGTTTCACCAAATTATAATTTCTTGATTTGATTCATTCTAAAAAGAAGTTCACAAAAAAATTTAACTACAATAAACTTATTATTCTAAAAATAAATAAAATAAAAAATTTGTTAATTCATTTTTTTCTTTGTTTACTGCTGAATTGATTGAATTATTTACCAAATTAGTTGAATTAAATTGTTACTGGTTCATCTTGATTTATAATCTTTACATAAGACGTTAATTTTAAGGGACCTGGAGATTCTTTCCTTTTTGTTTTCCTTTCCTAAAACAGATAATCATTTAATTAGTGTGATTATTGTCACAAGACTCGATTAACGCGTCTTCGGATAAAGTTTTCTTTATATTTTTCAAGAAATTCTTTTATCTATTTATTTGTATTTAATTATATTATTTGCATTCTTGTATTAATTATATAATTTATATTGTTTTTATTATTTTATATTATTTATCATTCATAGATTCTGGGATTAAAAATTTTTAAAAATGGCGTAAATCAAATTTATTTAAAGGAATACTTTAGAACATGTAAATTAATCTTTATTAATCTTTTTTTTTTTTTTATTAAATGTTACCAAAGAAACTTCTTTTCATATATGAACGAGATATATTCCACAAATTTCATCCACGAGTTTTGTTAAAAAAAAACGTAAAGTAATTAATACAAATACAAATAAGGTATCCTTAATTATTATTAATTATTATGTACTCAATAAAATAAACAAATCCGGATATATCACATTTAAGATAATTTAATGAGAGATATTTAAATGTGAAAAAAATGGAAAATGGGCCCAAAATAAACTTGTGCAAATCTACGAACACGACATATGCATATAATGCATTCATAAAAAAAAAAAAAGGGCATTATAACAAACAATTAGCAAATGAAGATTTGTGTAATGATTTGTTTATTTTTGTTTGCGTCTAGACTTTTTAATAAAAAATAATAACTTCTTTATATAGATAAATAAAACTGCTCCTTTTATGTCATAACTTTAAAAAATATTCATGACTGTTATTTATTTTTTAAAACTCTTGATTTTATTAATAAAAATAAAAAACTTATATTAAAAGAAAAATAAAATGTGTTAATTGTTTAGGTAATACCAGAGTTTTTGGATTCAATCTTAGAAATTGTTTCACCACTCAAGAGATTTATTGGGATTTTACCAAAGGAAACAATCAATCCTGAAAATTATAATTGAGTCTTAAAAACCTAACCAACTCTTCCTTTTACTAAAATAACTTCTTCACAACTTTCAAATAAATAACTATTATGATCAGTAATGTTATTAGATCATTAAAAGTATAAATATTGTTATTACTACTACCCCTATTGTTATTTTCATTATTATCTTTATTGTTACTACTATTCCTAATACTATTGTTATTACTAATATTACAAGTATTGAATAGTGCATTTAAGTCTATTTGTATGTTAAGGAGAGGAAAAAAAAACTTTTTCACTAAGGAGATATGTAGCCTCAAGCTTGTTTCTCCATATTGGTTTGTTTTATATTAATATACTAAAATTTTTTGAATTTATCTGAAATATATCTAAAAGTCTAATTTGTTTTTTTGCTTTGCTAAAGATTCACAATTCTAAATTTCTCTATTGTTTTCTTATAGCTAGATCTAAATAACCTAAGAAACAATTAATTTAATATACTGTATATATTAAGTGATTAAAACACTAGTTTTTGAAATATTGTAATATTTATAATTCATAATTTTGGATTAAAAAATTTTAATCCTTAAACCCTGAGTTTATAGAATAACCTAGGTCACGGTTTTCGAAATCACTTGACTTATTATAGAATATATTTCAATCTCGAAATTGTACTTGCACTATATATATGTAATATATTTGACTTTATCTATACCTACTCCTTCATCACCAAATAGCTTAAAAAATTTTCGAGCTCTTTCGGTTTTCTTACGCAAATTTGCGCCTTTAATGTTAGGCATATATTTTTGATCTTGCTGTTTTATTCTTAATTTTATTATCCAAAGAATAATAATACCAACATAAATTCGTTTTTGACCCGATTCAATTGCTTGTCAAATAAGTCTGATAAACTTTGTCCATAACCCGGAACCATATCCTGTATACAAGACTGCCTAACCATTATTTGAGGATGGGTTGATTTCAGAAAAAACGTTACGTACAAAAAACTGTTGCTTGATCGTAAGCAATTTTTATTTATTTTTACACTATTTAATACAAAAAATTTATCTAACGATCTTTTTTTTTAGCCTTTTCTGGTGTTGTTTGATTCTCTGGAAGAATTTTTTTGATTTTATTGATTTGGTTAGTGTGACTATTCTTATTTCTTTTAATTGTCGACACGTTCCTCAGACGATCAATAATGACACCTTTTTCTTTGTTGTTTAATAATATCATTGTATTGACAACTCGCATCTATGAATAATATTGATTCAGAAACCTTGAAATTAAAATGAAACAAAACAAATATGGATACTACCTTACTCTTCCAAACTGCTGTAATCAATTCTATTGCATCATTAAAGGACTCAATATCTTCTGGTATGCGATAGAGTTCGCTTTTATTAATACGAGTTACATAACCAGCTGGGAGATCTAGCGTCATAATCATTAAAACTAGACCTACAAAATATATAAATTTAGAAAAAATATTTAAACAATCGGAGGAATAATAATAAATAATGATACTATGTCACCATGAATATAACCCACTGTTTCCATTTTTTCCATTTTTTCCGGATCCCAATCTGTAATTTTACATAAGCTAACAAACATATCACGTATCATCTTTGGAAGTTTTAATCTTGACTCATAAAGCCACTTGGTTGCACTTTGTCACTCGTAGCGTTTTCCTGCTTCGGAACCTCCGAATTCAAGTCGCATTTCTCCTGATAACTTTCTAATTATTGCATCTTCCACCCATTTTTTTCGGGTATCCATGGTACGGTTTCTGTTTTTTCGATCGGAACTTGCATGGCTTGATGATTCACCCCTAATAGAGATTGCAATTAACAGAATATTTATGTGATTCAAATCTTTTACTATTAATACTTACCGAGCAATGTCAACATTTGGTATATCATCAAAGGTTCTATCAACAATGGGACCCCAGACATTAACATTATACCAAGCTTCATAATGGTCCAAAGAGAAAGCACTTGGATTACGTTCATATTGTCGTGCCCTGTAAATAAAGCAAATAAAATTATCTTGCACTGAATAATAATTCATATGTCGATATAATTTTAGTACTATTCTTACAGGCTATGAACTGAATACTTAAGGGTATCCACTTCAAAGTCGTATTCTTCTTGATCAATTTTTTCATTGTTTTTCTTATTTCTTCAATATTATTCTATATAAAATAAGTTAATAATTAGATGATAACAATTTTCAAAAAAAGTTTTTAAACTAACCTTATTACAAAAAAATTCTAGATTTTCATATAGTTTGGAGCTTAAGTCTGGATCTTCTTTGACATTTGTTTTAGCAATTTCCTGTAATTCCTGAGGATAAAAGATTCCTTTGATTATTGGATCATCTATGTCTATAGTAAATGAATGAATTAAGCTATTGCATATTAAACAAGTTAGTTATTAGATTCATAAGATCTGTACAGAAAATTCTAAAAATATTAATCCAATAAACTTACTGTTCTGATGTAAAATCAGACATGCATTCATATAAGGTATCTTCTACAACTCTACCAGTGGATTTGAGTTTCCACTTTAGATGATTTTTCATTTTATTGTATTCTTTATTAAATGAATTTTCAAGATCTGACTTAATTTCATTTTCTTTTTTGTCAGAAAGTTCACAGTAATTAAGAATTGTTTCCCCACTTTCCGTTTTGCGTGGTTTAATCTGCCTGGTTGAAATTTCATTATCCTATGCATTGAAATACAAAATAGTTAGTTCTGTTAATTTCAATTTCTAGCTAGAGAAAAAATGTTGACTGGTACCTCCTCTTGACTTCTTTTTTTCGATGTGGACAATTCAGTAATGAATGTTCTGTCATTGACAGTTCCAATTGTTTGAGAACCTCCCGTAAATGTATTTTGAATATTAATCGATGGTTTTTTTTCTGATTTGCAACTAAACCCACATTTATTAGCAAGTTTGCAATCAATTTTATCGCCCTAAGTATGAAAACTTGGAGAATTAATATTCTTAACTAATCCCATCTAAATTTCTATCCCACCAGGTCGGCATAGAAGGCTTGAACATCAGGAAAGCATAGAAGGTCACCTGTGCTTCAATACTAGCTTCGTGGCTCGGTATTAGAAGACTTGAATGACGAAGAGCATAGAAGGTCTTCGGCACGCCACCATTTTTATTATTTATAAATAATGAAAAAGTTCATACCTTTTTATACCTATTAAGCAGTTCCAGCGCTTTCTCAACTTGGGCCTTCCTTAGTTATTACCGATTTTTTCCAAGGCACCTAATGTAAAGGCTTAACTTCGCTCTCATTGTTTTCGATGCGCATTCTTTTAAAAAGTCCTCAATATTCCATTTCAACGGCTTGCGATCAAAGTATTGGTGCATTTTTTTTTTGAATGTTAGAGATACATCAGAAACAGAAATTTATCAGTTGATAATCATGTTACACGAAATTTACATTATGTCATATAGAAAGGCAAATCACCAATTTTGATGTGTTTTTTAAGGTACGGCTTTTTAATTTTAGTTCTTGATACTAGGCCATTTCTCTGGAGGGTTCTATGTATAGTTTCAGCTATACTTGCACACAAAATTATTTTGGAGCCCTGAAATTACAATTTCGGAAAAAAAAGTCAAAATAGTTTTTCATAGAAGACGAATTATTTTACTTAAAATCCAAAATTTTTTGACCAAGATAAATTCTTTGATTAAAGATGCACTTAACTCGGTATTTTTTTATTTCCATATATAGGGAATGTCTAAAGCCGTGATCAATCGATCAGCAAGTGGATCCGGATGATGACTTATGACAGTGTGCGACGCAATTTTTATTCCCACCCTTCTTTTAAATAAATAAAAACATAAAGTGAAACGAGCGAAGACTTGAATAGTTTCTTCTGTTTGCTATAGAAAAGTGAGGATGGTGGGATGGTGGTTTAACTTGTATTTTTTATTTAATAAAGAAAAAACTGTTTTTTTATTTAATAAAGAAAAAACTGTTTTTTTATTTAATTTTTTTTTGTTTCTTTTTTTTATTAAGTTTTTTTATTTAAAAGAAACTTTTTTTATTAAAGAAATCATCTTTTATTCAATTCTTTCTCATTAACTTGTATTTCATATCACGAATAAAAAAAAACCACTGATTTTTAATAATAACAATTGACCATCACTTTCTACACTTTCTACAGTTGATACAAGTAAAATAAATCCACTTATTTCTACAAATATTAACTCACTCGATTCTGAAGAATTAACTCCTACTCAAAAGCATGCACTCTTCTTTTCAATATCAACCAACCACTTGAGTTATCAATGTAAAAATTTGATGATAAATGGTGGCCATTAGTTTTGAATATTTGGACAGGATTTAATTTTTTTTAAAAAAAAAATGGTGATTCATCACAAACATATACTTGTTACTTTACTAAACACAATTAATCTAGTATTCAAAAAGAAGGAATTCCCAGTAACAAATGACAAAAAACAAAAATTCACCTGTTCAACTTATGTTTTGCTAAAATTAAAGTATCAAGGTTTGTTACAGAGAAAAAAGTATATGTCAAGTGTTTCAAGGACTTTTCCAACTATATACATTCTTTGGAAAATAGTGATAGACTCAAATGTCCATAAGTTATCTGAAATTTAGTCAAACAAAAAGTCATAAAAAATTATTAACCACCAGCAATCCTTAGTGTGGTCAAAAAATATGTAACAGAAAAAATAGACTTGAGTGCGAGCATAAAGGAGTTGAGAATCAAAGAGATTATAAATATCAAGTATAAAGTTCATGGATCTCTTGATACTTATCTTATCAGCAGTCCTGAATGAGAATTAGATATTCAGGAGTCAAATGTTATGTGATTCCCCATAAATTTACCTACAATTTTGCTTTTATAAACCAATTTCAAATCAAAAATCTTGAGAAATATGGATAATTAATATTAATAGATTCAACTCACAAGACAAATTATTATAATTATCATTTATTTACTTTATATATTCAAAATAATTATGGATGTTAGAATGTAGAAGTTTATTTATTTATCAGTAATAAGGACTCTGATACCATTGTAAAATCTTTGATGATTATTTGACAATTCACATCTCATTGGAGATTTAAATATTTTCTTCTGGATCAAAGCAATATAAAAGCAAATAATACTAAACTGGTATTTCTAGAACTTAAAAATGGAGAGCAAAAATGTAATTTTATATTTTGCACTGTACATTTGATATGAACTTGTATAAACAAGATATATAATGTAAAAACCTGACAAAAAATAATTCAAACAATGTAAAAAAGAATTAAGATTGGTTGTAAACTTTTATTTAACAAGTAATCAATAAATATTCAGTTCTGACCATCAAGTAGTATATTTCATGATATTATACATAAGAAGAATAATTAACAATGGGTACTTTGAGTATGCCAACATTCTTTTCTCCTTTTGTAGGTGATTTCAATGAATTTATTAGAATTATATTATTTTGAATTAAAGAGAACAACCTTTTCATGTTATAGCTTAATTGGTATATATTGTTATATTTTTTTTTATTACAAATATTATTATTGATATGTTTTTTTAGAAATACATTTATATATATATTAATAATTTTTTTTTATTTATCAAAGTACTTGTTACAAGGTTTTTATATTGAATAAAAAAAGATATATGGATTCAGAATATGTTTTTGAATTCCATATGAAAAAAATTTTAGTTATAAGCTTGAATAATGAAATTTTTAATAAATTTCATAAATTTTTCTATTCAATTTAATGAATACTTGCTGACAAAATTTGTACTGTTGAAAAAAGAATTGAGAAAGGTAAAATCACATCCAAGATGATGTCATTACATTGCAATTGTATTTTTTTTTTCACTATTTATTTCTATGTTATCACATTTTTCATGAACATATGTATGGTGTTACAAAATTATTAACAGCCAGTTCGTGAAAGAATTTTCAATGGTTGTTTGAAGAAGGTAATTTTGAGATATATATTTATAATAAATTAATTGAAATAGATATATCAGAACAAATCAAAATTAAGAGAACAACTGAAAATTGACAATTAATTATAAATGAGCTAATAGAATGAATGTGTAATACATATTGGAAAGTTGAAGAAAGAGATAATGATGAACAAATAAATGAACTTATTAAAAAATTAAAGTTCTGTTTAGAACCTTTAATACATAATGATAAGATATTAAATAGATTAAATAGAATAATAAAATTGTATAGAGAAATGTAAGAAAATTAATAAATAAAAAAATTTACAAATAAAGATTATTATGTCAAGAGAAATGACTTTATTTAATTTTTTTTAAAAAAATAATATATTAAAACATGTATCATAATATTAAAAAAATTTGATATATTATTTTAAATATGATATTGTGTCATATGTTAAACTGGAACTGTTATTGATAGTTTCTGATTTTCTTGAGGTTAAATCAAGGAAGTGACTTAATAGTTCTTTTAAGAAGTTTATAGTCTTTTCTCAAAGGTAAGACTGTTATTCCATTATTTTAGAAAGTATTACGAATTCAATTATTTTAAAAAGAAAATCAGATCTTTCATTTAATTTATTCTAATATCTTTCAAGTTTATTATTACTTTTGATATTAATATTTATTTATTGATTATTTTCTAGTTCTATCATTATTGAGTATTACTTCTATTTATTCAAGTTAAATATTATCACCAGTGGTTCTTGATTTCTTGAAGACAAACCAGTAAAGTAACTTAACGGTTCTTTTAAAAATTTATAGTTCTTTTTTAAAGGTAAGACTGTTATTCAATTGTTTTAAAAGGTACCACTGATTCAATTATTTTAGAAAAGGAATCAGACCTTTTATTCAAATTTATTTCAATATCTTTTTAAGTTCATAATCATCTTTAGTATTAATATCTATCTATTAATCATCTCTTAATTTCATCAACTTTAAACATTATTTCCAATTATTCAAGTTAAATATTATTTCAAGTCTAGAGTTTATAATAATAGTTTATAATTAATTTCATTAACTCAAGAATAATATTATTATACAATTATACAATCAAGTATTCAATTTCATAATATCCATTATTTCTTTGTTAACTATATATTTTATTATTTAATATAACTTTTATTTAATATTTCCAATATTTATTATTTTATTAATTCAATTTAGGATAATTTTTACAAGTATTTATCTTGGAATTATGAATTATAAAATTAAATTTATCAATTTCAAATAAGTTACAAATTATTAAAATTCAAAATTATAAAATTACAAACTAAAGAATTAAGGTAGAACTTTGATCCTTTTTATAAATATTTTAAGTGATCTACTGTACATTACTGTATCATTACTATATCTTACTGTATTCCAGAAGTAGCAAATAATTCAAATGACCTTAAATAACCTCAAATAACTTTATGATTTTGGTCATTTGTCATTTGGATCATTTCAATTTCAATTTCAAATGACTGGGTCATTTAATTTAATCAATTAATATCACCATTATTTATAGTTAACTCATAGATGCAAATATTAACTAATATCTAATAAAGTATACTTAACTTTTCTTATTGAAATTAGCTTCTAAGTTCGTGATGGACAAGTACATTAGGAAATTTAATTCAGTCATGAATTTTACCAAAATTATTTTGGGGTTCCGAAATTGTAATTTTGGAGAAAAAAGTCAAAATAGTTTTTCATAAAAGACGAAATTATTTTACTTAAAACCCAAAATTTTTTGACTACTCAGATTTATTCCTTGATTGAATATATATATAACTGGATACTTTTTTTATTTTCATATATAGAATAGATTCTGCATAAATTTTAAAAAGTCAAAATATCCAAATTAATTTTGAAAACATGTATAGCTTTGACATATTTTTTTTAAATTTAATAAAATTTATATATTCTATGATTCATTTAATATTTAAATGATATAAATAGTTAATATAAAATGTCCATTTTAATTAATCCCAATTAATTTCTCACAATAAATTATTTTAAAAAAATAAGTGAGACCTTAAAATTAAGATTTTTTTTCATTTTTTAAGTAGAAAAAATTAATTTTATTACTAAAAACAATATTTTAAACAACTTTTTTTAATGTCTAATTATAAAAAACAAAAAGCAAAAGATCTGAAATATATATTTGTAAACTTAATTAAAGAATATAGAGAAATCGAATTAAGATTTTGTGGAATAAGTGAAATACAAAAATGGTGACATGTAAGTAGTCCAGAAGCAGCTAAGCGACTTGCAAATTATCATGATTTTATTCCTGAACTTTTCAGTTTATCTTTAAAATCTTATTCTATTTGTCAAACACATTATAATCAAATTATTTTAACTAACCAATTTTATAAGCATTTTGTAAATTCTATACAAGAAAAAAAAAAGACTTGACTTGATATTTATAAGGATAATTCAGCTATTCATGTTAGTTATATGAATCCAACAGTTGAACTTAACGAAACTAGAAGGCTTCTGGAGATTACACAAGTAGAAAATCAACAGAAATCACAGTTAATCATAGATCTTAATAATCAAATTTCACAAATGCAACAGTCTATAGATGGTAAAAAAAATGAAGTAGATAATCTAAGAAACTGATTACAAAAATTTATGATAATATGATTGAACATAAAAAGTTGTATGATGAATAATGTAGACATAATAAAATTCTTATTGAACAGTGGAATTCAAGGTTCGCTACTTAACAAAATATATTGATGTGATTATTGAAATAGCAAAAATGAAACATAAATTATTATTTGAAGATATAGAATTATTAATTCAGAATAATTCTAGATTTTCTGTAGAAAGTTTTATAGTATATAATCCATGCGAATAGCTTAATAGATGTAATCAGGTAATTGTTAAATTTATTAAAACTTTAATTCAGAATAATCATAATACTAATATTTTAAGCAAGGAGAAATTTTTTAAGACAGCAGTAACAATTGATTTGATATATGGAGCATGTCATGGGAGATATGTTTCAGAAGTTCATCTTGCTATCTCAGCTATTAAGTACTCAATCGCATAGTTAAAGATGATTATTGATATCAATAATCATATTACAAGCTCAGATAGTTATTCTCGATTTCAAAAATGGCTAGAAAACTTATCAAAACATGAAAAGCCATTACCTGAGGATCTTTTATTTCTCACATTTGATAATGAACAATGAGAACAAAAAAATTATCTCGTTCGAGAATTTAATACAGTGATTTATTACACTGTTACTAGTTTCATCTCTTTTAATATGTCATTCCAAAATAAGCTTCAGTATACTAATTTACCTTGGATATATAATTCTCTTAACAAATTACAATAAGAAAAACTTTTTGATGTCAGCTCTCAAATACAGAAAGTTATTGATATAGAATTACATAAGTATCTTACTGATGTTCTTAATTTGTTATCCAAAAAAAAATTATCATCTACTAATACTATTGATTCTCTTATAGCATCTACAGTAACCAATATTAACAATATGAAGATGTGCCTTAGTTGTGACTAATAAAATATCGAGAACTGAAAGAAAACATATTCAAAATGTGGAGCGTGATTGCTAACATTAGCTGAAATTCAAAAGGAAAAAATAACTGAAGTTGAAAATAATATAAATAATCAATTAACTAACTCCTTTATTTTTAAACCATATAGTATCACAGATCAAAATTTAAATATCAGATACTTGATATATTTATAATATCAGGTACCTATCGAATACCTATTAGAAAAGAATAAATATATTGGGTATCTATATGATTGATTATTACTAAGTATCTGATAATTAATTTTGTAAATTTTATCATGCACCCAATATAATAGTAATAGATATAAGATAATTTTATTATTATCTCAGGTCCCTGATATTGTCTTGAATATCGGATGCATGATACTAAAATAGTAATATCAAGTGAATGGTATTCTAATTATTTTATTCAGGTACACAACATTATTATATACTCATTATATTAGATTATACCTGCCACCCAAATTCAAAATTCAAATGCCGAAATCCCAAATGCCAAAATCCCAAATCCCAAATCCCAAATTATAATTAGTATTTTTTGCCGAAATCCCAAATCCCAAATCCCAAATACTAGTAATTTGGGATTTTGGCGTCCCAAATCCCAAATGATTTGGGATTTGGGCAACACGTATATATTAGATAATCTCTTTATTATTTATTATTAAATAAAATAAATTAAACATTAAATTTTCTATTCAATGGAATTATTGAAACATAATTTTTCTTATTCTTATTTCCTATCCGATAGTTTATTTTAATAGCTCGACTATATATTCTATGTACTGCAATAATTGAATCTATACCTTCCTCATAATATTCTTCTCTCCACAATTTTGTATTTAATATTTCAGGTATTATAAATTTATGCTTAAATCGAATACTAGAGAAAAACACATTTTTGTACTATTTGATATAGGCTAAAGGATATGTTCTTGATCCATTCGGAAGAGTAAGTACATATTCAAAATAATATTATACCTCTTCAAGATAAATATCACTTGTTCCATCTCTAAAGATCTCCTATTTTACTAAGATTACTGTATTATTTTCATATTGGCCTGTAATTTTGAACTCAAATATTTCATTCCCTATTATTAACTTTGCATATTAGTTCATAATCATTTCCATACATGCCTTCACATCTTTCTTTTTTAAATTATATAATGTTACATATCATCTATATAATCTTTTTTGAACTTCAACTAGAATACTTACCTTTTTATATGTAGGTGATAGTATATGTCCTGATATATATTCAATGCCATAGATCTTATTAGATGTATCATATCTCAGGAAGATGAAATACTGTAACTTTTCTCTATCAAATTCATTAATTACAGCTAAGCTACTAGCAGCTTTTTTCGGTACAAGAAATTGAAGAGACTTCTTCAAAAGACCATATGTTCATTGATAGGAAAAATGATAATCTACAAGTAAATTTTTAAGAACTATTTTCATAAGTTCAGGTTCAATCTACTAATTACTATTGGAATAAGAACCTATAAAAAATTTGTGTTAAAATTTTATTTACTATAATTCATATACCCGATATCTATAGTATACTTACATATTTATTTAATCGCTTATATGGAAATAGTCAAAAGCTATAAATGGAGCCATAATCCTGTATGCATTTAGGAATATGTATTAATAAATAGATATTACTTGTAATGAATTCAGGTCCATAAGTTCTTTCTATATTTATGGACATATCCTTTAATCATTCTTATGCTTCTTGCAGATCGTTTTCTGTAATAAATCTAATAATCAATAAGTTACATACCCAAATAAAATGTTCTAAAATTTTTCTATTATTATTATTTAACATGTCCTATAGAATTGTTGTTGTATAAATCATAATGAAGGTCTTCTATTGATTGGCAGTGAGTTTTAAAAATCTTTTTCCAATAGTAATTTTTGGAGAGATTTGACCAATATCAGATGGAAGTTGAATATTATCTATCCTCCTTTGTGCTATACGAAATTGCTCAGAATTTAATTTATTCTCTTTAATAAATATAAATTGAATAATTCATTTTGCAACCTCAAGGAAAAAGCAATGCATGGGATCCACTATCATGAATTTGATTGGATTTATGTAAGAGAGATAAAGTAATTTAGACTATCGTACTCTGTACTCTTTAAAATGAGTTTTCCTTATTCCTCTAGTGATACATCTAAGCTATTCTTGAGTATATTGTTTATGTTCTTGGAAGTCCACAAATTCTCTAATCCATTATTCGTAATTTTTCATGCTATCATAATGAGTTTTTTGGAACTTTTCACTATATCGACTTCTTTTCAAACACCTGTGACATTTCATTACTGCAGATCTGTATTCAAATAACTTTTTTGTAACCAGAATATCAAAAGAACTTACAATTATCGTAACTCTTATATTGAGCCTATCCTTATTTTTATATGTTTCGAAAACTCTCCATCCCTTCCATAATTCCTTAAGGTCATCAACTATCGATGATAGATAATGATTAATTTGATTCTTATCGGCTTCCTTAGGTCCTGGGAGAAAGCCCAAATAAATTATATTTTCGGGCTTATTTCTTTCGGCCTTAGAGAGATTGCATATTGAAGCATAAATAGCACCAGTGCTATGTTGTGTATACTTGAAAGGTTGGAACCAGTCTAAATTTATTAATAATCTTAAATTCAAGGTGGCAGTTTTCGGACTAAAAAATTTGCTACCATCGAAAGGAAATGAATTCCAAACTCTCCCATCATATATATCAGCATAGATATTGC